AAAAAAAAAGATCAATAATTTAAATTATTGAAAACTTCCTTCAAACTTTTATTAACAGGATTACGAAATGTTTAAATATAATTGATTAATTTAGACAGTTCATTTTCGAAGGTAATAGCAAAACAAGGAAATGATTATATGAATTTAAGTGAATAATTAATGAATAACATATGTTATATTGGTGGATAATTGATGAGTAAGGTATAACATGTAAGTTATATTTGAAATTTAATGTTATTAATTAATTAATGGATAAGATAAATCATATAAGTAGGTAATTAATAAGTAAGGTAGATCGTATGAATGGATAATTAATGAATAAGGTATGTTATGCAAGTTATATTTGAGATTTTAATGTTAATAAGTATATTTTTGCAATTAATTAATGGATAAGATAAATCATATAAGTGGATAATTAATAAATAAGGTATGTCGCATGAATGGATAATTAATGAATAAGGTATGTTATGCAAGTTATATTTGAGATTTTAATGTTAATAAGTATATTTTTGCAATTAATTAATGGATAAGATAAATCATATAAGTGGGTAATTAATAAGTAAGGTAAATTACATGAATGGATAATTAATGAATAAGTTATATCATGCAAGTTATAATGTTAATTAGTGTATTTTTAAATGGATAATTAATGAGTAAGTAAGATAAATGACGTAAATTATATTTAAAAATTTCAGATAAATTGATAAGTGATGCTTTGAAGAAAATTAGTGGAACATATTGTATGCGTGGATGAATTCTGTTAGCATCGAACAATTTCTTGCAGCGTGTGAAACGTGGAATTTAGATGAGGTTCATCAAGCTGTAGAATCCGGTTTCCTTGTTGATACATTTGATGATGATCATGTTACCGGATTACAGATGGCTGCTGCAACTGGAAATATTGGAATTGTTAGTTTCCGTAAATAATAATACTTCATTATTTTCTTTTTTTTTTTCTCCCAAAATAACATTTATTGCTAAAATATCCAATAATTTTTAAATGAATTGTCATACATTAATGCTTCCCTTTATTTTCATTTATTTGATGGAAAAAAAATGATAAATCATTATTTTAATTATTTCAGGTAAACCGTTTTATCATTTCAGGTAAATCATTTTATCATTTTAGGTACAATATTTATTGGATCATGGCGCTGATATCGAAAAAACTAATCAGGTTGGTATGACAGCACTTCATCATGCAGCAAAAAATGGTCATGCTAATATTGTTCGAATACTTGTTCAACGTGGTGCAAACTATCAAAAATTGACGTACGTGTGTCACGTAAACCTTATCGTATCTTCAAATTACTACTAATATATTTCGACGATAAATGTAAATTAAGTTAAATTATGTTTGCATAATTAATAACTGTTATAATTTTTACCTGTAAAATTACACTCTAATGATATGATACGTAAGTAAGCAGAATAATTAAACGTAAAGTTACTTATTATGGAGTAGATAATTGTTGCTATAAGATAACCAAATATGTTGCAGACAAGTGCAACTTACTTGTTATCTACGTGTTACGTGCAAATAACATAAAGAAGAGTAGTGTCATCTACATGTTATCATTGTTACTGTAAGATAATCAAATGTGTTACAATATAAAAATGTATTAGATTAATGCAGCTTACGTGTTACATTGCTGTCAACATACGAAAGAGTGGTGTCATCCATAATTTCATTCGTAATTCTTTAGATATCTTGGTGCATCAGCGATGACATTAGCAGCAGGAAGTGGTCATATCGAACTTGTTAAATTACTTCTTGATTTACGTGTAAACATTAATCCATCACATACCGCACTTTGTCCAACACCTGTAATAGCTGCAGCTTTTCGGCGACATACACATTTATGTGCATTATTATCACAAAGGTATGCAAATTTTACAATTAAATATCAATTTCATATAACAAAATTACAATAAATAAAAAAAAAAAACATTTATTGCGCGAATTGTATGCTTAAATGCATTCCTTAAATGTTGCATGCAAAATTAAAATAAATTTTGTTTGTAAATTGCATGCTTAAATGCATTCCTCAAATGTTGCATGCAAAATTAAAGTAAACATTTGCATATTATTATAGAGGAGCATATTTGGATGGAAATATTCAACGACTTTCAAATCTTTCCGCCCTATCAACAGCTATAACATGTGGTGCAACAACAATTGTTGGAGCATTACTTGAACTTGGTGCTAATCCATCATTTCGATCATTGAATGGTATGACATCAATTGAACTTGCACAATATTTACAACGAAATGAAGTATTAACTGTGATTAATTCAGCTCTTCGAAGTACCATAAAAGGTTATTCTTTCGTTCTTTTATACTTTTATTATTATTAAAATAAGCTTCGAATTTTTATGTTTAATAAATTCTAAAATTCTGAATTTTAAATTTTGAAAATTTTTTGCTTACATTATCAAACGTTTAATGTGAAAAAATCATACCGAATTCTAATTTGTATTAATAATTAATTAATTCTGTTATTATTACTATTATCGTTATTTATTATTATTATTATTATTACTATTATTATTATTATTATTATTATTATTATTATTATTATTATTATTATTATTATTATTATT